CTTGTATTCATCTTTTGTTATCAGTATCTATTGAGTATTCCAATTTTAATACATTTTTTTCCTTTCTTAAAATGTGTATACATTTTGGGGGCAAATTATATATACACAACATATACACACACGCACACGTGCACAAATGTGTATGTGTGTGTATTATATACTATGTACAAGTTTATACATAACNTTCACGCATTCATTGATTCATTCATTTAACATTTATGTCAGAAAGTAAACCATGTCAGAGAGCTGCAGCCTGCCAGGCTACAAGTCTTGAAAATTGATGCTCATTTCATAAATGAGCAGACGGAGGACCGGAGAGTTGTTAGGTGGTTGGTCCTGAATTCCACGGCTAGTGGGGCCTCTGCCAGGACAAGACCAGAGAGCTTTCAGACCCCTGCACCCTCCTCTGTCCCCCCCCCCCACTTCTCACCCTCCTATACGCTGATCTTCAGACACTGAAACACCAAGATGACACTGATGTTATTAGATTACTTGCAGGCAAGTCGCATTATGACAAGCCATGCAAAAAGAAGACTGTTCGTTTTCATCCTGGAAGCAAGGTCAGTCAGGAGAGGGAAAAGGAGCAGCAAACTTGGAATGATCACACACAAAGCACCTGCGAGCTGGTGTTTACAATGCAGCCAGCCTGACATGGAAAAAGCACTTGGTGAATTCTGGATTTGGGGTGTTGTTTCTATTACTGTTATGTCTGTACTGGGTGCTCTCTCGGTTTGTCTCCATCTAACCCATAGATTGGCCCACACTCTCCTTTCCTTCTGCAAAGTAAGCTGACCGAAACCCACAGCACACTGATTACTCACAGCTAATGGGTCACTCTAGAGTACCCATGCCCTTCTCCCACGTGGCCATGCTTACTAAAAAGCCAGTCCTGAGAGTAATGAGCAGATCCTGTTGTGATTCAAAACCCTAACTGCTACATTAACTGGTAAAAAACCAGGTGGATGAGCGTTGGAACTGTTTCTGTGAAAACCGTTAAATACTTCAGGACAATTCAAGAAGTGAGTTGCCAAGAATGTTTGCCATTGCGGCTGAGGAGTGTGAGACAGCGAAAGGACGGAGGGGCTAAAACCCTAGAAGGATCCTGTGCGTAGACTGCTTGGCAAGTGACTTAGTTCTCATTCTACTTTAAAGAAACCCAAACTAGAGATTGGTGGCAAAGCATTAAAGGTATGATCAACCTTTTCTCAAAGGGACAGGGCTCAGTCCTGCATCAGAAACTCGGTGTTGAAAGTTTTACAGCAAGGACAGGTGGCTTGAACATCAAAGAAGCATATCATAGGATCCGTTTTATTTTAAGAGCACTGATGGAAAGCTTCTGCAATTCAGTGTTTTACCACATGTTTAGTTCCTTGTCAATAGAGAAAATCAGATGGGCAAACAATTCTGCAATATGGAAACGTGTCCCAATTATAAGATGTTACCTCCAAAAAGAGTGATGCTAAATTAGAGCATGGGGTGAGGGGTGGAGGGGGAGGCGGGGAGGACCCAGAGCAATATCCCTAGGAGCTGCCTGCCCCTCGGGACTGGCTACATATTATAGTTTCCAGAGCCCAGTGGAAAGTGAAAATATGAGGCTCCTTGTGCAAAAATGAGGAAGAATTTCAAGATGATGAGAGAAGAGTGTTAAACCAAGAGTGGGGCCCTTCTGAGCACAGGGGCCCTATGTGATGGCACAGGTCACACGCCCATGAAGATGGCTCTGCTGTCATTTACTGTTAGCAGCAAATCAGAGCTTTATAAAGAAATTTAGTTTGTATCAGTTTACTAAAGTAACTGTACCAGTTAGTCTCATAAAAGTCAGCGTGGGTGAAATGGACTTAGTTAGACTTGATGAGAGGTTGTTTTTGTACCTTCGATAAAGAAACATGTGAAGAATATAATTGTTTGAGCATCTCACTCTTTGTAGGTAACTTTCCTTGGCATCCTAATGGTCAAGAATTTAAAGGCCTGGTTTTTGTCCTCCCCCCACAGTGCCCCCACCCCAAGAGTAATATTCTTGATCAAATCTGTGAGTCAAAGGATTCTAAAATGTTTAGATATATCTCTTAGGCAAAAGAGCTTGAGTTCCATTTGGGCTAAAAAAGAAAAGAATATAGATCCTATAGGAGAGATCAAAGATATTGTTTTCCATGAGGCAATGGCATGGACTGAAATTCTTAAGGCAAAAAACTTAACACACAATCTTGAGGTGCAAGATAATGGTAAAAACATGGTTTTTCATCTGAACTCAGACACACTGAAGATTTGGACACAGAAGAAAGTGAACAGCAGTGGATTCATGATGACGATTTGCTAGAAAGTAAAATTAAATAGGGGAGAACTCATATATACCATGACATAAACAGATAAAGCTCCATATGAACAGGACAAAGAAGAGGTGAAATTAAATTCAAAACTGTACATGAATCACGCAGTGGCTAGGGGTATCCTCTGTCTAGCTTCACATTATATTGAAGAACAACAAAACCAGCAGTCAATGCTGTAATAATAAAAAAGAACTATACTGAGAAAATCGTACTTCTAAGCAACTTAAAATTAGTGATTTTATTAAACATGCTCTATTTTATTTATTTATATATATATATTTTAAACATTCTTTCATTATTAATTTCAGGTGTACAAAATAATATAAAGACTAGACATTTACACCCCAGACAAAGTGATAAAATAACCCCAACAAGTCTGCCCCTCTGACATCGCACATAGCTATTACAGTACCATTGCCTATTTGCCCTATGCTGTACTTTATATCCCATAACTATATATATATATATATATTTTTTTTAATTATAGTTGACATTCCATATTATTTTATATTAGTTTCAGATGCACAGTGTGGTGTTTAATGATTCTCCCCAATTAAACATGCTATATCTTAAATTACAATAGAATGTTTATGGTACATATTGTTTTTGGTTTCTCACTGACTTTTTCTGTTAACTAACTAGGGATCCCTCAACCAGGAGGCCTTCTGTTAGCTCGCTCACTCATTTTGCTGTGGCTGCAGTAGAAGTCCTGTATCAATCTTTAGTCACTAGTTGCTGAGTTGCCTGAAAACATCATTTAGAAGTTCATAACTTCAACATCATTTTTAACTTAAAACACACCGCTTACATTCACACCCTGATGATTTTTTAGTTTAGAGCCATATATATTGGCTGATTATAGTTTCCTGAGCCTTTTTTACGTGAACCATGCCATCTTAATTCTGTCTGTTTCTTTAGTGTGGAAAGAGAAGATATAGACATTTGCAAAACAAATTTGAGTGCAAAAATCCTTCTGGACTTTTAATGCTTTTTGTTTTCTTTTCTCTCTTCAACAGTTGCCTTGCCCACACCACCATACCAGTTCAGCCGTTTGTTGATATATTCTTTTGTGTTTAGGGACTCACTTTTAATTGGATTTCCTAATAAGCTCCACATGGTACAAACAGACTTGAGAGCTAACTTGGTAACTGGTGGGAGCAGAAAGGCAGACATACTAGAGAGCAGACCCCTAGCTTAGAGTTTGTTGTATGTTGTGAGCACCCGTCGGTATATTTCAGAGGGAATGGAGAACGTGGGTCAGTCTGCGTTAGAGAATAGAAATACTAACTGGCCTCCCCCATGTTGCTTGGGGGGGGGGTGTTATTAGTCAAATAAACCCCCCTACTACTTATGTTGGAATATACCCCCTGTGACTGCCTAAGGGAGAAATAGCTTGAGTCACGAATCTTCCCATGTGACTTTTGATTTGTTGCTCACGATTGAATTCCCTGTGTTTTCATGGACCACACTGTACTTCAGTGCAGTGTGGGTGGAAGGAAGGATCCCCAGAGGAATTGCCTGTAAGCCACTGGTAGTTCAGTCAGGCCACCCAAAACATGCCTTCCAAGGTGGAATGGTGACAGAAACAATTTTATTTGTATCAATTATGGTTAAGCTTTGTCACAATAGAGAAGGAAAATGTCAAGGAAGTTCACAACGAGGAACCATGTTGAAGTTCACCTCCCCTGGTCAGACTAAAAGTGTGATGCTTGAGTGTTGGGGACATTTCTGTATCTGCTTGGTTTGTGGCACTTGTTTTCAATTTTCACCTGGGATATTGCGACAGCACCAGTCTTTAAAATACAATAAGAGGTAACTGCTTTCCTAACATCTGTTGAACCTCCTGTTTGTTTTTCCAAAGGCTCACTAATTAAAGACTGGATAAAATCTAGACACCTGTGGAGTGGTGATAATAGAACCCCTAGGGACAAAACACCCCTCAGGGTTCAGAAGGAAAGAATGATTGATAGGACTGATTTTTCTCCCCCATTTTAGTGATTTGAATCTTTTGTTAATCAATTTCCTTAACATTTTTTTTTTAACTCCTTAACATCCACTAAACTGGGCCCAGGTGGCCCCAAGGCCCTCCAAGGCTGAGCTTTTAGTCACCTCCAAGGAAGGTGGGAGGCGGAAAGGCTCCCCAGGTGACAGAGGCCTCAGTGATGGGTCTGGTCACACTTGGAGACTGGGCTGGGGGGGTGCTCCAGGGACCTCTGAAGCAACAGCCTTCCCTCCAGCCTTCACTTCCGGTCCTGATGCATTTGACTATAGTTGGGCCATTGGCTGTTTGCTGCATGTGAATCACGCCCACACACACCCCTCTGCAGCACCTGAATCTTGTCTGTGTGTCTGCAGTCTGGGTGTGCTCCTGGCAGCATTCCCGGAGTCCTAAGTAGCAAACACAAAACTGGAGCATGGCCCATCGTCTTCCTTCTCTTCTATCTTGTTCTCGTTTCCTCTTCTTTCGCTCTCCCTCCCTCCTTCCTTGGCTTCAGCCAGGCCTGGTAAGAGGAGGCACGAAGGAACTCCTGGGCGTCCCTGGTGCACATTAGGAGACTTGTCTGAGCTCCATCGCCCCTTGATTCTTCGGGAAACTTCCCTCTCACAAGACTCAGTTCTTACCAGGAATCGATGACTCACCCTCTGCGTGTTCTCTCTTCCTCTCCCCTGTAGGAAATGTGACTGGAAACAGTAACTCCACGTTTATTTCCAGCGGGCAGGTGATGAATTTCAAGGGCGACATCATCGTGGTCTACGTCAGTCAGAACTCCCAGGAGGGCCCGGCGGGGCCGGGCAGCGGCGCGGGGGAGCCGGTGGGCCGCCCGGTGCAGGAGGAGAGCTCGCCGTGCTGCGACTCGTTCGCGGGCCTCGGGCCGCGCTTCCCGGACACGTGCGGCACCCCCGGGCTGGACAAGGCCTCGCGGCCCGTGCAGGAGCAGGGCGAGGCAGAGGCCCGTGCGCCCGGGGCGCAGCGCTGAGAGCTCAGGGACCTGCTGCAGCACTCCATGCGCCTCGGAGCCGCGATGCCACCGGACAGGCAGTGACCTCCGGGCCATCAGCCAGCCCTCTGCTCCCGAAAGAGCCTACCTGGCCGCGCTGGCTGCGCGCACCTGCACCTGGGTGGGCGGGGCCTGGGGCGGGGCTGGGGCCGAGGGCGGGGCGGCGGCCCGGATCTGCCCTTGACTCCTTTCCATTCGGTACATCTGCGTCAAATTACTGACATCCTCTACCCATCCTGCTCTTCGTAGAATCGGGAACTTTTAAAAAAAAGTAAATGTGTTATTACCACTTACTGATATTCAGTCGCATATCAACTAATAACTCAGGTACACGTTGCTGCCTTTGGTTGTTCCACTTTTTACTCCCTTTTGTGAATTTTCTCCCTTCCCTCCCACCTTCCATTCTCATTTCGTCAGTAGTTTGTCTCTTTATGACATCTGTTTTTATGGCGGTCCTGTTCTATTTGGATCTATTATTTTCCCCCCGTATTTGTATTTCACTTAATCTCACAACATTTTTCTGATACTCTTCCCCTCCCCCCATCCCACGCACACACGTTTTTGACTAAGGATTTTCTTGAACTCTCCTAAGGGTGATGGTCTTCTTTACATATTTTCTTTTGTGCCCCTTCTCACAAATAGGTGCCTGTCTTTTTGGTGATGGCTGGGGGNCTCAACATAACTTTTGAACCAGACTTCCGTTCATAGGTTCCGTGGATCAGTCCAATCAGTGGCCAAGGAGGGCCACCAACATAAACCAAGGCCTCTTGGGACAGTCAGGCCTGTGGGCAGGACTGTGTGCAGAGGAGGATGGAGTGGGGTGGCCCTGAACCACACATCACCCCAGACTGCTGAGGTCTGGTAAGAAGTGAAAACACAGTGAGGATGAGATCGTTGTGGGCTGTTTTTTCATTTCCAATTTCTGCTCCATCAGTAATGACTCAAGAAGAGATACATTTTTCTTTTATAGTTTGAAGCCATGACAAGAAGCAGCCAAAATGTGATGTTCTGCTCTGAAGAAGTTGGGGGGGAAAGTGGGACTATTTTAATAAGCATTCTTTACATGTCTTCCTTCCTTTTTAAAAAATGCATTTTTATTAAGCAGAGCTGGCCATGGTCCAGAAAGTAAAGGAAGGAGAGAGCAGTAATTCCTGATGACACATTATTCAGCCATAAAAAAGAAGGAAATCCTGTCATTTGTGAAAACATGGATGGACCTTGAGGGCATTATGCTAAGTGATGACTAGAAACCCACTGGGGTGAAATCAGACAGAGAAAGACAAATACTGTGTGATTTCACTCATATGCCGAATCTAAAAAAGCCAAACTGATAGATACAGTGAGTGGATTGGCGATTGCCAGGGACTGAGGGTGGGGAAATGGGGAGATATTGGTCAAAGGGGGCAAACGCCCAGTTGTAAGAGGAATGAGTTCCAGGGACTAATGTACAATATGCTAATGACAGTTAACAACACTGTATTAAATACTCGGAAGTTGCTAAGGGAATAAATCTTAAATGTTCTCACCACACATACACAAAGTAATTATGTGAGGTGAAGGATGTGTTAACTAACCTTATTGTGGGAATCCTTTCGCCATATACACATGTACCAAATCATCATGTTATACACCTTACACTTACATAATGTTATATGTCAATTGTCTCTCAATAAACCTGGGGAGAAATTATTCTTGATGATAAAAGAAACAAACGTTAGGCCCCGCAAGACTTCAAATGTCTAGACTGAGATGTGATGTGACAGCAGAGCCAGGGGCCCTGAGCTGTGACCAGGATCTTTGGTGCTAAGCTGTCATTTGTCACTGAGCCCAGGCCTCTCCCAAAGGCAGCAGCCTCTGCTCTTGACCTTAAATTCCTGTTGTAAATAAATCCACTGAGGCTGCCTATGAGGAAGGAGGCACAGCAGCCAACACCAACAATTCTATCATAGGAAGAAGATGAGAATGTGAGCTTTACTCAAGATAAAGAGTGAGCCTCACTTCCTGTCAGTTAGTTGACACTTAGGCAAATAGTTGCCCTTCATTGAAACAGCCTACAAAGTGATTTACATATGTTATCTCATTTAATCATCACAGCTAATCCACCAGTGACTATTGCTATCTTCACAGAAGAGGAAATGGGGTCAGAGAGGTTAATAAACTTCTACCACCTCACAAAGCTAGTATGTGAGGTTTGCACCCAAGCTCCAAAGTTTGCGCTACCGTTAACAGTGACTTTGTGGATAGCCGGCCATGTTTAGATCCAGTAGGTTTGTTTCCTCTTTTCTTCTGTTTTCAGCTATAGCCAAATGAGGTTGAACTGGAGTTGAATTGGTGTGGGTCGAGGAAGTCAACGATGGGACTATTTTTTAAACACTCCAAACCTTTTCAATTATAATCAGACTTAGTTTCTCACAATCAGCAGTGAGCCCTAAAATTTTGCATTAGACACTTTGTATCCTGAGCAGACAGCCTGTTGGCTCTATGCCTCAAAAGAGCTTCCAGGGCCAGTTGAGTGGCGCATTGGTTAAGAACTGGCTTGGGACGCCAGAGGGCCCCAGTTCGGATCCCACATAAGAGGGCCAGTGACACTGCCCTCTACAGCTAAGATGCTGGACAACAGCTCGATCTGGAGCTGGGCTGCCGTGGGTCCCCAGCGACGGCGTAGGCTGCAGTCCCCTGTGGCAGTGGGTTGCCATGGGCTACCATGTGTAGCCGGCAGCCAGCATGAGCGGCCAGCAGCCGCCGTGAGTGGCCGTCCAGAAGCCGGCGACTGATCTGCCTCACCCAGGAAGAGCGCAATGATGGTGCCAACTTGGGCCAGTGAAGCANATGATGCATTTTTTGCAACGAAAAATATAGAAGAAAAAATGTCATGACTTTTCCGACAACCCAAATACATCAGTGGAACAATCGCCATAATTTTTTTCATCAGGTTTATTGAGTTTGTGATTTACATCCAGTAAGAGTCACCCTTTTTAGGTATGTAGTTTTATTATAAGTTTTGACAAAAATGTATTGTTGTCTCACCACCACCACCACCACCACAGTCAAGATCTAGGCTATTTCCAGCACCCTCAAAGTTCCTCTGTTTTGCTTTGTGGTCAGTCCTCTCTCTGCAATCGCCAACCCCTGGCAACCACTATTTATTCTCTGCCCCTATAATCTTGCCTTTTCGAGAATGTCTTGTAAATGGAACCACTCAGTTGGTAGCCATTTGAGTTTGGCTTCTCCCACCATAATGCCCTTGAGATTCGTCCAAGTTGTTGGGTACATCAGTGGTTAGTTCCTTTTGATTGCTGCGTAGTATTCCATTATAAGGATGGACCACAGCTGATCTATTCAGCAACATTTGGATACTTTCCAGTTTGGGGCAATTACAAATAAAGCTGCTATAAAAACTTGTGTGGGCTTGTGCTTTCATTTCTCTTAGGATTCTATATTGACCCAAAGACAAATGATGGGAAATATATAACAATTATAGGTTTGTGTCTGTATTATAGATATGTATGTGACAAATGTAAACAGAATGAAATGAAAATAATGAGAAATTGTTTGGGGAAGGGAATGTGATAAAGAGATTATTAAATGTATATTTGACCATAAAAGATGTTATCCATGGTTTGCTTAAATAGGGCTCTTTGTAAGATGATAACCTGACTTATTTCTGATTTCTATGGTGTGCTGTGGTGTTAAATGTTGGTTAGATTGTGTTTGGTAGAACCCTTGACAACTGAGTTGAGACAGAACATGCCTTGCTTGTTTTGATGATATATCTGCTGTAGATCTCATAAGAAATTTCTTTAAAATATAGGTTGGCTAAACAGTGAAAGAATTGAAAGGGAAATGGAGTCTAATAGTTCCTACCCATATTTAACTATGAGAAGAAGGAAGAATCAATCTCTATCTACCTGTAAGTGTTAAGAGCAGTTGGACCTTCATATGGTGGGGGAGAGAAGGCTCTTGCTGTGTAACAAACTACCCAAAACTTAGCGGCTTAAAACAACTACCATTTATTTGTTCATAAGTCTGTGGATTGGTTCAGCTTGGTTGGCTCTCCAGCTGGGCTTGCTCACCCAGGTGCAGTCTGGACGCTGGCTGGCTGGGGGTTGGCTGGGCTAGACTGAGCCCTGTCTGTATGGTCCCATCCTCCCAGTCAGACTAGCCTGGCCTTGTTCTCATGGTGGTGGCAGGGTTTTTGAGGCCTAGGCTCAAACTGACGTGCTGTCACTTCTGCCGCATTCTGTTGGCCAAAGCAAGACACGAGGGCAGCCCAGATTCCAGATGTGGGGAAACAGACCCCCACCTCTGGGTGGGCAGAGTTACAGAGTGACATTGGGAGAGGGGTGGATATGAGGAGGGGAGGAATGGGGGTGCCTTTCCCTTCTACCTACCGGGGGGCATTGTTCAGAATAGGATGGTGAAGTCAAGAGCTGTGCACCTGGTAGCAAGAGCAGAGCGGTGCCCAGGCTCTAATGGCGCCTCCTCCGGCGTGCAGAGTAGGGTGGATTTCTACAACCGGGGAAACATCACGTTCATGTTTAAGTTTCCAAGTTCCTTCCAAAGCCAGATATACATGATTTGGGAACTGGTTCTACTGTGTTGCTGTATTCCACTGGCACAATCAGTGAAAAGTGACTAGATTCTTAAAATGGAGAAAACTGATAAGATGGTTTGGGTGGAGGACCCTGTTACATAAATAGATAAAAGGCCTGTTCACCGTTACACCGATTCAACAAACTCTAGGAACTGGGCAAGAGGGTGAGCTTAGCAACATGCTGTCTTTGGTGAAAGAGGAATAATTTTGAAATGTTTGCTGTCTGACAGGCTCTGATGGCAAAGACTCCCTTAGGCCATCTGCTCTGCGGAGCTGTGGGGTGCTCTGGGCAGGAGTTGTACAGCCCCCTTTTGGAGAGGGGTTAAAGCATTTAAAACCCTAACATTTGATTGGTGAGTCATCATTTGTATTGAGTGCTTTCGACACTGGGCCCTGAGCACCTCTGGGAAAGGCGATGAAGATAGCAGGAGAGTCCTGAGGAGCCTAGGCATAGCCTAGAGAACTGGGGAAACCTGTGGACGTTGCTGTGCTCTAGGGCACCTGATGAGGCTGCTGCGAAGGGG